GGCGCGAACCTGGCAATGTCACCAGGCCCAGGCCAGCTTCTGACCGGTTTCCCACAGGCAAGGCTGAATGGCTCCTCTGGTCGGGAAGCACCTTCATGGGCATCAGCCCCTTGAAGGAAGCTGGGCGCCGCGCAGGGGGCCCTCCACACGCCTGCGCTCCGTGGCTGTGACCCTCTGATGGGCCAGGAGCGGGGCTGCCAGGAGCAGGGAGCAGAGGGTGGCCTGCCTGACGTCACACAGCTCCCTGGGGCACCGGACCACCAGCCCACAGGAATCCCGTGGGTCTGCTCAGGCTCCTTGATACGGTTCACGTGGGCACATTCACAGCTCCCCTGTCCACAGCTGCTCCTTTTCCAGACACTTCCACAAGATGTGGGAGCATCTTGACCTCTTTTTCATCTCTTTTCTAGCATTTGCCACTTGCGTAATTATACATTCCTTGGTGGATCTCCTGATACGCGTTGGTTTCCCCGCCTTGGGAGGGACCTCATCCGGCTTGCTCACTCCCTGGACTCTCGGCTCCATCTCCCCAACTTCACCCAGTTGGCTGGGCCCTACTGGCTTCTCCCTTCTGGGACCCCTCTTTGCAAACTCTCGGGCAGTAATCTGGGGCAGCCAGGGCTCCCCTCCTTTGTTTCTTGTTCTTCAGAGATCCCCGCCTTCTGTGGCCTTGAGGTCTGCTATTTTGAAAACCATCGTTGTATGTGTTTGGTATATTTTGTGGATGTTTCAGGTGTGGGGAGGACAGCAAATCTGGCCCTGTTACTGCATCTTAGCTGGAAGCAAAAGTCCTGAATCTAAGGGTTTTGTTTGTTTGTTTAAAGATTTATTTATTTATTTTAAAGAGAGAGGGTGAGCAGGAGGGGCAGAGGAAGAGAGAGTCTTAAGCAGACTCCACGCTGAGTGGGGAGCCTGATTGGGGCTCCACCCCACGACCCTGAGATCATGACCTGAGGCGAAACCAAGAGTTGGACGCCCCACTGACTGAGCCACCTGGGGCCCCCCAAATAGAAGTTTAAATGATGCATTTCTTGACTGGGAAGAAAGCAGCTCCTCTGATAAAGCGAAACCGAGCCCGGGTGGTTCCACATCACGTTCTCTGGTTGTCACTTTTATCATCTTTACAGACGTCAGGAGAGTTTAATGAATACAGCAGACAGAGCCTTACTGAGTCCCAGGACAGAGGGTGTTGCGACCCCTGAGAGGTCAGGACAGCTCCTGCCTATCTTCGGTGTTTGCAGAATCTTGGCCCAGAGCAAGGGGGGGGCGGGGGGGGGCGGGGGGGGGGAGTGCCAGAGGAGGCGGAGCTCCAGCAGCCTCCTGTCTGGGACTTCACACCCTGCTTGCCTCAGCCTTCCCCGTCTGACCACCTGCCTCTCACAGGCGTTGCCTTCGCCCTTGATCCGTAGCACCGAATGGCCTCCTCCCCCCAGCCACAAATGACCTTCCCCTTGCACATTAGCAAATCTGCACGTCTGGTCTCTTGGAGCCTGCTGGCTCCTTGAGCAAGTCGACCAGATTCTGGCCAGCCCGGTAATGATCCGTGGGCAGCTGGTACCAGACCTGGGCACAGTTTCTATCGAATCCATCTTTGCACTCCCAACTCCTAGCGTGATGCCAGGGATGCAGGTGCTCAGCAAATGGCTGGTGGATGCAGGAACGAACGAACGAACGAACAAATGAATGGGCATCTTCATGTGATGTTACCTTCTCAAATATGCACCATCAGTCTGCTCACGTGCTAAGCTTATCGTATCTGCAAAGGGGTACTGGCCACACCAATAGGAAGGAAGTTCAGGCAGGAGCAGACCTGGCCTGCAGCCCAAAGCTCAGTGTCCCAACCCTAGCCCCTGCAAAAGATGCTTCTTGATCCCGAGCGTCCCTGTTTGTCCTTTTTCTGAAATGATACTTCTTAGCCTTCCTCCAGCTCTGACAGCCCCTGATCCTTCCTCATGTAAAAAGAATGACTGGAGCTAGGATAAATAAGGATGGATTCTTTGAACACAAGAGCTGTTTTCTTGGCAAAATCCAAGATTTATGCCCTGGACTAGATTCACAAAATACCTCCCTCTTTTCCTATGCATTAACTTCTTGCCTTGAGTAGCTTCCTCACAGGTGTGTGCTGAGCACTACACCACTGAATAATATTGGGGGCCCGAAGCAGAAGGACCCTCTCAAGCCAGACTCCCTGCTCTCTGTGCCAGTTTTGTCTGAAAAAAGTGAGCAAGAAGGAAATCCCCACCTCATTACCGATGAATGTAAAGAACATCACAAGAGACGCTCTGAAATTGAGTGTCTAATTGCAGATGAGTTTTAGGAACAATCCTTCTGTTTCCAGTTGATGGGATTTCTCAACAAATGCCCTGGTGGCATTTTTGGAGGGACAATTCGACCTTGTAGGAATGTCCAGGTTGTCGTTGTTTTCGGGAGCTCCTGGGCTCACTTACTGTGGCAACCAGAGACAGCCCCTTTCCCCATATTTCCAAGTGCCCTCTAGAGGGGGGCTGCCCCCAGCTGAGGATACACACTGGTGATGTGAGCCCCAGCGACCTGTGGGCCATTGGTGGGCAGGTGTGAGGGTCCCCTTGGGCTGCAGACATGGCCCTTGGGACTTAGTCCAGAAATTTTACAGCCTGAGGTAGAATTGACAGAAACCAAAATTGCTTCCCTTTGCAGTGAAAACAAGGAGACAAGCCCTTTGGGGTTGGGACCCCATGTATCTGGTTGCATTTCACACTGTCCTACAGTGACCACTGTAGGGAAGATTGGGCCTGGATCTGTGCAGGGTCACTCCAGGAAGACTCGGCTAAGCCAGGGACGCCCCAAAATGAGGAACTGGGTCGGGGGAGGAAGTCAGGCTTCTCTGGGGGTGGGGGGAAGAGAGAGGTTTGTGTTTGATATTTCACCAAAAAAATACTGAAGACGTTCATCATGGGGAAAAAGAGAATTCTCTTCAATCTCCTTTCCCTTATTTTAGAGCTTATTTCTATTTTGAATTTCATATTCTAAATCTTCTCAGTGTTGGGGTTTCTAAAGGCCTGATCTCGCCCTGGCTGAGAGCAGCCCCGTGGCTCGGTGACACCCTTGTCCCTGGCATCGCTCAGGGAGCATTTCCGAATCTGCTTGGTTGTGTGGTTCTGAGCCCCACATCTGGGGACGTTGCATTTGTTAATGGGGCTTTAGCACCTGCTCCTTGCAAAGCCAATCATGACTTCCTGCGTCTCCCCGCCCAGCTGCAAAAATGCCACAGTCCGGTAACAAGTCAGTAACCTATAACCCCTCTGCCCAGCTTGTTTCTCTTTCCTTGTTCCCAGCAGGCATATACAAGAGAAAAAGCACTTGGGAAAACAAGCATGGCAGTCCTTATAAAGTTACTCACACACACACACCCTAGGACCCGACGAGCCCACTCCCAGACGTTTAGCCAAGAAAAACACAAAAACATATCTATACCACGCACGCAAATGCTTCTAGCAACTTTATCCACAAAAGTCAAACCCTGGAAACAGCCTAGGAGTCCACGACAGGTGAACGGATAAACGAATTATGGCTTCTTCATAGAATGGAATACCCCTCAGCAGTAAAAAAGAAGGAACTGCCGAAATTTGTAGCAACGTGGATGAATCTCAAGAACATTTTGCTAAACGAAAGGAGCAAAAAAACAAAAACAAAAAACCACACAATGCATGATTACATTTGCGAACTTTCAAGAACAAGCAAATCTCATCAATGATTTTAAAAAGCAGAATAGTGGTGGCCTGTGGGGCAGGGATTGAACAGCATTGTGGCTTAGGCAGGTGAACGTATTTGTCAAAGCCGATTGGACCACACACTTCCAGTGGGTAAGAGTCACCATATGGGATTTACACCTTGATGATTAGGACAACAACAACGTCCACAGTAAGAATGACGATGGAGATGAAGCCATCCACGGTGTCCTTGGGAAATCATTCCCTTATTCCCCATGTGCTGTGGAGTCCCTGAAGGTGTCTATTAGTCATTGGACTCAGAGCCCAGAGCCTAGTTTTGATTCCTTTACACAGAGTCACAGGTCTTGAAGACCTGCCCAAAGCTAGTAGTGTCTGTCTATCTGTCCATCCGTCTGTCTCTCACTCCCTCACCAGCCCCCTCTCTCTTTCCCTCCCTCCCTTTTCTCCCTTCTTCTTTCTCTCTTTCCTTCCCCCCCACCTCCCATTTCTTTTGCAATTCAGGGCACTTCTTTCCAGTTGTGTCTGAACATTTCAGAGCCTCTGGGATGAGGCTGTGTGACGTCTCTGCTTTTCTCAGGAGAGCGAACCAGCTTTGTTGTAAACCTGATCTACCCCTCTGCTTCGTTATCAGCCCCACATAAGTGGTGCCAAGGGGGAGGACAAGCTCCCTCAGAGACTCCATGGATTGAGTAATGACCAAGGGGCCCCACAGCACCCAGGGTCAGATGCTTTGTCGGTGACACTTTTCCAGATTTTGGCCACCCGTGCAAATTGAGGCGGCTGTTAGGTACTCACCGCATGGGCCAAATCCAAGAAGGGAGACAGCCTGCCTCTTAGAAGAAATCAACTTTCCACACTGACATTGATGGGCCTCCCTTTCTCTCCTTCCTCCCGCAGTGTGAGCCCTGTGAGCCCTGCTCCCCACCCCCACCCTCAGAGGAAGCGGATTTAATGCCTCAACTGAGAGAATGAGATGTTCTGTTATTTTTCATGGGAAATTAAACCTGACCCTGCTGTCAGTTAGCTCATGCCAAGGGAGGATGGATGGCCCCGGCCTCAGCGCTTAACCCCTGCTCAGAGCACGTGTCTGGCTGGGGGCCAGCCATGATGTCAACTGCCGCTGGGGTGGGGGTGGGGACGGCAGGAGAGGTCAGAGAGCCTCCATCCTGGAGGGCGGAGGACTGATGATGGTGAGGCCGCCACCCTTGGTGTCACCCACAACAGTCCACCTCTGACGCGGCCGGCACCTGCTCATGCAGGGGAGACTCAGCCTGTCACTATGTCTTTCAGCCCCCAACTCTACCTCGTGCCCCGCTGAGGAAAGCTGGTGGTCGGGGCTGGTGATCATCATTGCGGTATGTTGTGCCTCCCTGGTGTTTCTCACTGTGCTTGTCATCATTTGCTACAAAGCCATCAAAAGGTGAGTGCTCCCGGGGCTCTGAGCCCGGAGGGGGCTCCGCCTGGGCTGGGGGCTGCTCCGCCCACCCCCATCATCTTTCTTTAAGCCATAAAAATTGTTAAGCATTTAGTAAGCAGAAAGAATGTATAGTGAATGCCCATATATATGTATACATGTATATATAGTGACCCCCCCACCTGGAAGTAACAGGCCCTGCCTTGCGGAGCTCACTCAAGGCGCCTAGGACCTAAGAGTATGGAAATAATCCTTGCAGGGTGGGGGATGGAGCCACTGTTGGTTTGGTGTAGGAACTGGGTTTTGGAGTCAGATCTAAATTCAGATACCAGTTCAAACTGTGGAACCAGGAAGAAATCACTTTAACCTCTTTGACCCTCAGTTTCCCTACTTGTAAAATGGGGGGGGAAGAATGACAGCCGTATACTGTCACGAGGCATGGTGAGATGCTTCTGTCAACAGTATGCACAACATGTATACTCCTCAGTGCCTGGCATACCGTAGGTGCTTGCAGAGTACTGCGTAGCGGTCCATTGTTCCAGGAGCTGCAGATAGAGGAGCAAGGGTGACACAGGGAGCCAGGCTTCTCTGGGGGGAAGACAGAGGTTGAGATGCCTCAGAGAAGATTTTCAGTGAACAAGACTTCAGCTGGGTTCTGGAGGATGAACAGGGGTGCTCCAGGGGAGTCGTAAATGATCCAGACAGCAGACTCACTTTCACAAACACTCGCTGTCCTTTCTGTAACTACCAACTCACCCTGCCTTTCAAAAATGATCACCAGTCACCACCCGCCTCGTGGAGCTGGGGTCTGCAGCCGAGTGTGGCTGTCATTGGGGTCTGAGGTTTAAGCTGTGTCCGGGGCCCCTAAGTCTGGTAGAATAGGCCATGTGGTGGATGCCGCTCCCCCCACCCCGGAATTACAGCACAGCAGCTCCCCCCCTTGGTCCCCTGACCTCTAGGCTTCCCAGCCTCCAAAAAATGCTCCCCGTCTACCCCAGCTTCCCGGGACCTTGGGGGAAGAGAGAGTCAAAAGACAAACAAAAATGTTGCAAAACACCCAAGGGTGCTAGGCATTGTTCATATATTTCTTTCTTTTTTTTTTTTTTTAAGATTTTATTTATTTATTTGAGAGAGAGAGAATGAGAGAGAGAGAACACATGAGAGGGGATAGGGTCAGAGGACGAAGCAGACTCCCTGCCGAGCAGGGAGCCCGATGCGGGACTCGATCCAGGGACTCCAGGATCATGACCTGAGCCGAAGGCAGTCGCTTAACCAACTGAGCCACCCAGGTGCCCTGTTCATATATTTCTAATAAAGGTTTTGAAAATTCCCGAAGGCCCAAAGTTAGGGGGTCTCTATTAAGAACAATTGGAACACCTAAACTATTTCACTTTAGGCTTTCAATCCGTTGTTCTATGTGATTCCATTTGAATAATTCAAAAGCAGAAAGAGTAAAACATCAAGTCAAAGGTCTGACAACGAGTGCATGTTCAGGCACGGAGGGTGACAGGCCAGACTGAGCGGGAGCATCCTGGCAGGACACGAGGGGGACAGGGCCCAGGTACAGCAGCTCCCCGGGGATCGGCCAAACCCTGGGGATCTGCCTCTCGGCCAAGAGCCCCTTCTAGAAGCCCCCTGCCCTCATGCTATCAGATAATATCCACAAACAATGACAAGTCGCAAGGGAGTAGCTGTAGCCCAGCGCCTCTTCAACAAGTGTGGGGGGCGGCTCCTGGCCCCCCTAACATTCCCTCAGTTCATCTTCGTCACATCTTTTTCCAATCCACTGCATTTTACAGATAAGGAACCAGATGCAAAGGGGTAAAGGGAACTGCCCAGAATGGCACAACCAGGGAGCAGTGGACTCCGAATTTGAACGTGACTCCAAAGCCCAGCCCCGACTGCGGCCGGTATCACTAGGACTGAGCAAAGAGCGGACCTCATTATTCCTGTCTGCCCTTCCTCAAGGGTGCCCGGGCACCTGGGGTGTGGCGGTGCTGCTTTGAGGAAGGGGGGACAGATGGACAGAAAGGCTCCAAGGCTCCCAGACCCTGCAATTCAGGGGGAGGCCTGGCCTTGGAGACCAAAGTGGATACGTTGGGAGACCCCCCGGGGACACAGCCAATCTGATTCCAAGTGGCCTACTGTGTGCCTGGCTCTGTGGGGGCAGAGACAGGTAAGATCCGGGCCATGCCCATGGGCTGCTCACCCGACCCAAGGGCGGTGGGGGGCAGATACGCGCATGACCATGACCGCATTACAAGGCAGGTGGCGATGAGGCTGTGGGAGGCTTGCTGGCAGCCTGTGGCGCTGCCCGGAGGAGGCATGGCTAACTCTGATCGGGATGATAGAGCATCTGAGCTGAGAGCCTGCTGCAGTGGGAGGAGGATTTTGAGAAGCAGAGCAGGGAGGCTTTCCAGACAAAGGCACCTGTATGAGCGAAAGCACCAGGACACCAGGAAGCTCCAGGACCGCGGGAGATGAGGCTGGAGGGAGCCGCGTGCCTGACGGGGAGGTGCTTGGCCCACCGGGCTGAGCAGCTTGCTGGCGCTCGGGAGGCACAGGGAGCTACGGGAGGTTTGCCAGGAAGAGCACGCAAGATCCACCAGTAGCACTGCCAGAGAGGGCCACTGTCCCCTCAAGGACGCCCTCCCACTGTCCCCCAACCCCCCAAAGAGAGGCAGCGTTCTCAGGTCACCTCTGCCTTCCCTCTCTGCTGCAAACTTCGGGAGAGACGTGCTGTCTGCTCCAACATCAGGAGGGCACGAGGAGAACTAACTCACATTAATAGCTGACTGGCGGTGTGGCCCGCTGTGGCGTGCTGGGCTTTGTTCCAGCGGAGCTGGGGGTCGGCCAGGAAGGCGTGTGGGGGTGCCCCCTCCCCTCCCCTCAGAGCAGCCTGAGGGGCCTCCTGTCTGCCCTCTGTCCCCTTCCACAGGCTCTGAGCTCTTGGTTCCTGGATCTGCCAGTGGCCTGGAAAGACACCAAGCTCAGGCCACATGGCTCAGTTGATCACTTCCAGGGGTGTGGGCGGGGCTCCTTTCCAGGGTATGGGCGGGGCTTCCTCCAGGGTGTGGGCGGAGCTCCTTCCAGGAGTGTGGGCTGGGCTCCTTTCCAGGAGTGTGGGTGGGGCTCCTTTCCAGGAGTGTGGGCGGAGCTATCTTCCAGGGCTGTGGGCGGAGCTCCCTCCAGGAGTATATGCTGGGTTCCTTCCAGGGGTGTGGGCGTGTCTCCCATCCAGAGGTGTGGGCGGGGCTTCCTTCAGGAGTTTGGGCGGGTCCTGGGAGTAAATGGGGTTGATGAAGCACTCCAGGACCGTAGCCGTGGGGGGCGTAAGCGCCCCTAGGACCAGGACAAGGGGACGAAATGGTGCCACAGTAACTAGAGAACCTAGAGAGCCCGAGACTCAAGAGGGGCCGCTTAGCAGGAGCTGTGATTGGAACAGATGGAAATGAGCCCCAGAACAGGAAAGGTAGGGGAGATACACCCCAACCTCTCTCCACCCTCCCTCGTCTCCCGAGGGCGCCTCTCACTGGCCAAACCCAAGGAACAGGGATGCCTGGGACATGCAGTGGTAGGCGTCAGCCTCCCAAGGCACAGGGCAGGGAGAGGATGGAATGGATGCGTGGGGGCAGAAATAGAGACCAGCACAGTCCCTGCTCTGCAACAGCACCATGATCCGCATCCTCCTCTTCGAAAGGCCTGGGACATGGGAAGAAGACCCAGCCCTCTGCTCCTCCAGACCTCATCATCCAGAAAGGGCATCCCCGCCCACAAAGACAAATAGTCAGGGACTGGAGGGGGCTCTCTTCAGGGTCAAGTAGAGGCAGAAATAGAGGCCAGCACTCCCAGAACTGGCCTGGAAGGAGGCCTGTGTGGGAGAGGCTTAACCCCTTGGGGGAGGGAGAAGGGGGCAGCCCGAGTTATAGCTGTGAGGGAGAGCAGATGGCCCCTACTGCTGCCCGGGCTGACCTCTGCTGGGGGCTGTAAGAGATAGCATCGAGCCAGCCAGCTATCTGTGTGCATTTCTCTCCAGAGTCAATGGAGGATTCCTTGCTCACGGCCAATTCTTCTTGGTTAATAATTCATTTGAAACATGCCTCTTCTCTCAGGAAACAAAAGCATTTCATGTCAATGTAAAACCATTAAAAGGAAAATTCAGTGATCAACCCAGGTCTTTTTTTAACTCTCACAGCCTGATGTCCTAGGGGAGGATTTCCAAGAGATCTTTGTGAATGGCCCCAACACAGCCTTGGGGAGCCAGATTGCTGGGAGGATGGTTCTAGAATCAGTTGGGGTAGCAAGGTGGTTCTGGAGACGCCAGCTTGGTTTGGCCTCTGGGGTGCAGGCCGCAGGCTCCACAGGCCTCTGCAGGAATGGGAGGAGACAAGAGCAGGTGCAGAAGCAGCACCCCACGGTGCCCTCACTGGGCATGACCTTGGTGGGAGGTGGGGTCGAATCAGCACTTCCTACTCACAGACGTAGTGAATCAAACTGCATCCTGTGAGTCAACAAATGCGCCCAGAGTCCCAACTCTGAGCTGGGTGACATGGTGCTCGGGGATGGGGGTGCTCCAAGGTGGGGAGCCCAAGGGGGGGCACCTCCCCCAGACCCAGGGCCCTGAGAGGTTTCTTGGAAGGAGAATGGTGTTCATCAGACCAAGGGGCTCAGAAGCGGAGCTTCTCACAGCGGGACTAGCTCATGCAGTGGCCCTCAGGTCCCCTGCCAATGACCCCAAACTCTGCAGGGTCCCCAGCCATGGGAGCCCACACAGCTTACATTTCAGTGGCCTCCTCCTTGCTATGAGCTTGCTGTGAGCAGCTTCTTCTTCTTTTTTTTTTTTTTTTTTAAGATTTATTTATTTATTTGCAAGAGAGAGAGCGGGTGGGGGGGTGTGGAGCAGAGAGAGAGAGAGAGAGAGGGTCCTGAGCAGACTCCAAGCTGAGCTCCCGTCCTGGGTGCTTCGGGCACAGTCCCTGCCCTCGAGGAACACACCTCGTGGGGGG